GGTGATGGTGATGATGATGGTGATGATGATGGTGATGGTGATGATGATGATGATGATGACGGTCGTGCTGGCTGCGTGAGTCTAACAGTGTTCGATCATTCAGATTCGGGTTGAGAAGGGTGGCCGTCGTTCATGTGCATGTTCGTTTTTACTGTGCATCGTCGGAGTTAACGGTCGCTTCAGTTCGTTGCTGCTCGTACTCGTCCCTCGTGTTGTAACGGTATGTTCAAGGTTGACGGATACGGCCTGTTCGCGGTATGTCTCCAAACATTGGGATCATTTGCATAGAGAGTGGGAAGCCACTAGAGCCCGCCTGTCTGACCAATCATTCTCGACCCCTCAGTGGCTATCGGGTACTTGTTCCAATAACCTGTAGACATGCCGTGCATCTCAAGGATCCTATAAACTTCTGGTGCTGATCCTTCTCAGGCTGTGGATCGTCATTTCCCTGCTGCGGGAGACGTTGCTGACGTTGTTGTGTCTTGCTGACACTTTGGGTGGCGGAAGGGACTCGTCTTCAGTCTTAAATGGGACCAAGCTCCACCCTTAACAAAGTAGTCTGAGGCAAGAGATTAGCCTCGAGGATTGCGCCGGGGCTCTGGCCGCCACACCATAGGTTCGCGAGAATTCTAGAGCTGCAATGGTTGTCAAACTCAGTCACTCGTTTTCTACATTCATGCTTGCCTCGTGGCCTGCTGATACTTTCAGCAGGCGAGCATTAACGAAACCCAATTGAGCAACTCAAAGCTCAACTTGGGAACACCCCGTCTAGCGGTAGGTCATCAATCCTAAATCCTGAACCCTATGAACCCTGTAAACCTTCTTGCTTTGGGCTTCGGTGTGCTGCACGGTGGTACGGACCTTACAGCCGAAAAGGAGGCCTGGAGTCGGAATTTCAAACATGTTGGTGGTTTTTCTGTGACAAGGGATGATGATCTCATACGTTCTATGTATGTGCCTGCTGTGCACAGTGCAACATCATGCTATCGTGTAGGCTTCCACACGGGCCGCACTAGATCAAGTCGTCACATAGCAAATCGCCCTCCAGCTCTCCCCCCTACCAGAAGTAAAACGCCCAACAGTCTCTTTTGCGCCAGTGCGCGCCAGTGTCTGTATTTGTTGTTGTTGTAGTTCGTGGTTGGGGTTTTCTTAAGATATGACTTTTCAGTTTTGGTTAAAATGGCGCAGGATTTCAAACAGTCCTTGCGTTGATTGGTCGGCACAGTCTTCAAAGCTCCCAGGGTCGAGACGCCCCAAGCCACCTGAGGCAGAGGTCCAGAACTTGCCAGCCTTGACCCCAGACCTTCTACTCATAGACCCTTCTAAGCGGAAAACGGCGGACCAGACTAGACTGTATAATTTAATTCACCATGAACCCTATTCCAGTTGGTGCGGATTCCTCATCGTTGGCACCACCTGGGTCATCTCCGTGCTGATTACCATCTCGGTTCTGACCGATCCCAAGCTGGACCCCCGCCGGGCTTTGCTGCTTCAGGGTTTTGCGGAGGTTAGGGTTTCCAGGATTTGGGGTTTATGCACGCTCCACTGAACGGTGTCATCTGTCTGGGTATTTGGGAAGCGTTGTCGCCTCAATCATCTTCCCAACCACATCGGCATACTGGGTGGCGAGTCGGGGCAAGTTTCGGCCGTGCAGACTTAGAGGCACATAGCCACATAAGCCCACGCACGATCACCGACGAAAGTGTGGCCAATCGCCGTGCTGCCCAAAATAAGAAAAGTAAGAGTTGTGTTTGTGTGTGCGTGTATGCGTGCGCGTGTGTGTGTGTGTGTGCGTGCGCGTGCGTGCGCGTGTGTGCGTGTGCGAGTGTCAGATGCAACAAAAAGCAAGAAATCGTAGACGACATCATAAACCCTTCAATCCCACAATAAAGCCCGACGCCCCACAAATCGCGCCTTAACCCCACCGTGCCCCGGAAAGGACTTCGATCTTAGCCGAACAGTCTGGACCAAAGAGGACTACTGGGGCTCCGTAGGCCGGCTGGGCTTTGGTATTCATCGTTTTCGTTTGGGGGCTTGCCCTGTGCCTTTTTTCGGATGTAAGGGTGGGTGGGCGGGCATGTTTGCAGCACTGCGTCGACACGGATATTCAGCGGCCAAAGTCTCGCATCGCATCCCTGAAGATCGGAATTCGGACACCGCGAGGTTGTTGGGGTCTGACTGCTTGACGCTTCAAGGGTTGACGCTCTGCATCCATTGCTGTCCGGATAGAGTTCAAGAATTGAACCAGACATTCCTAGGAGAGCTAGGACCCGGAGATTCTGCACTTTTCTGGGTGTACTGTTACGCGGCCAGTGTTGATCTAGGGATGTCTGCAGCCCATGTGGGCCCATATCCTGCTATACTAAGCACCATCGGCTCTTGCGCTTGCAGTAGGAGTACAGAATCCATCAAAGTCCTCATTTGCGAACCTACGAACCTGTAAGGCTTTAATGAGTGCTCGTGATAGCCACCACCAAACAAAGCGCCTGTGCACTTTGTGCTATGTCGACAGGTAGAACGGTTCCGCGGCGGCAGTTCATTCGGAGACACTCGTGCTGATCCAACTTCCGTGTGTTTTCAATTTTCAACATTCCAGCATAGACAGGCCCAGCAAAGATAAATAGTTAGACATAATTACACAGACTGTACAGCTTCACAATTATACAACATATACATGAACGCACGTACAGGCGTGTGCGGGTAATGTATATCCATAGGACCTATGTATCCATCCATCCATCCGTCGATCTACGCACACATGTATGTATATATACAAAAATCTATGGATATATATAGGCCCACCTACATATACATACGTAATTACTTACTTACCTACCTACCTATACCTACCTACATACATACAAATACGGTGCAGCATTCTTGAAGGAACAGCAGACTGGCAACCTTCAGTCCTCGACGCAAGGGCTGACGGAAGGCAACTATTTGCAGATACCAACAACTGCAAGTAGCTTTGCAAGATGGGTAGGCTGTTTATACTGCCCCCGCCTCCAACTACCACACGTATGTTTGCGTTTGCATTGATTGTGGCACTGCCTTGGAATGCAACCCCTAGGTACGGCAGACTGTAGAATGCTCAGTCTTGAGGTCATCACGATGTTCCAAGTCCTCCTGCGCGACAAGTGGGCCGACTCCATTGTATGGCCGATGGTTCAGAATGACCGCGGGTCGGGTCTTTTCGGTACTCTAGCAGCAGAGTAGCGAGTTTTGATCGTCAGGCTCGGGGTCCTTCAGTGCCAATTTACCGTGTCAGCATCAGCTCAGCCTATGGGCCTGTGGGCTTCACTTCTGAGAACCTGCGAAAGCATGGAACACAAGGCGGGTTGCAACGATGCGTAGCACAGGTGCAAGGTGCAAGGAAGGCCTGTAACTTTCGTCGGCTGTGCAGAGGATGGCACCTTGTAAAGTCGGCTTGCCTTCAGTGGATAGCTACGGCTACGTTTCGTTTCGTTGCTTCCAGTGGCCCCTGCGAGGACCCGATAGTTGTCCGGCGCCCAGACCTGCAGCATCCAGCTAGATCATATGGCTTCGCCATGTAGTCGCGGTACCCACCCCGCTTTCCAGCCCAGCACGCTTGAGTTTGGTGGCTCTTCCAGCATAAATTTACCGATGTCATGCTTGGAGGCGTACTCGGTTTTTGCGGCATCGCCAACCTTTGCCGCGTTCTGATGTCCAGATAGGGACAAATTAGACTAAAGGGTAGCTGCCGCGCTGTGGATTGAAGTTATATAGATCGAAAAATCATGCCTTTTCCAGAAGGGCGACGAAGCTGTCTCGCACCGTCGCATGCTTTCTTCTGATGTCTGAGCACAGGCACAGTCACCCTGAACCGAGAAGATGGGAGGTGAGAGACTAGACTAGAGCGAGTCACGGGGACCTACCTCGAATTGTGCCAGTCATCAGCAACAATCAGAATACCCCATTTGGATGATGGCGAGAGCAGGGTGTCATGCAGAACCATCCAAACTTTCTAAACTTTGAGCCATGCAGATGCTGATCTTCGCGGTCTTCTACTGCGTTGTGGTTCTTGCACTTATGACTCTTGGCCAAACAGTATTTTCGCACGGGAGGCAAGTACTGACTACCAGCTTGTAGTGTTGAAAGGTGGCTCAGTGTGGAAGAAAAAAATTGGGAGGATTTGTTCGCCTGCAGTGGGGCATTAATGATGTGAGCACCGCGAGCCCGGGACAGAATGACCAAGACTGCTAGTGAGAAACAGCAGTCGCAGCTAAGTGAATCTCGGCGCTTGGGATCCAGGGAAAATTCGGGTTGCTTGAGAACTTTGAGAGGGCTGCAGATCCAAAAGTAAGTGTAAGGCTTCTGGCATGTTCCAAAGTAAGCGTTTTAAGTTTTACGTGTTTTAACTCCCATTCCAAGCTGCTGCAGAAAAGCCAGAGTTTCTTCTAAATTGTCTAGCGATAACGTTGGAGAATGGAGAAGGGACCGACTTGACAAAGCAGTAGGACGAATCCCAGACGAAAGGTGACCAAGCTAATTCTGCTTTGGCCTGTCAAGTTGTGCGAGGAACAACGTCACCGGTGTGGTCGTTGCTGGCGCCTCAGGTTTTCCTGCACCTGCTGCATGAGGCTTTATGCATCATACGCAATAGGCGGACGCAAAGCCCAGCAGATTTAGCAGCATGTTCATGGCATGCGTGGGACCATGTTTTCCAACCGTTGTATGTTCTGTGCGTCGAAAGTGTCGCATCAAGCTGAGGAGTGCGCCATGGAGGCATCAACCCTTTGCGGCGAGCTCTATCAGAAGGAGCAGGAGCGTGGCCGATCCACCAACTGGAATACGGTTGGGATGTGCTGGCGATGCCAAGTCACTTCCATCGCATGAAGCAAGTGCTTCTGGAACATGCGCTTCGTTGTTACTTGTCTGTTACTTCTGTGTATGCTGAAGTTGTTGCTTGACCGCCGCCGTTTGCAGGGGCCGAGCTTGTATAGTGGGGATTAGTGGGGTGTCTTGGCTCAGTTGCCATGCACGGCCGACGGCGCTCGTGGACATGCTTGGTAGCACTGGCCCTTTGTGCCTTGGGAGTGGGTCGTTCTTTCGCTGGTGGCGGCATGCCGAGCAGGCCGTTGCGGATAGCAAGGACCTGCTTGGAGCAGGGGCCACCGCGGGATAGTCGCGACGAGCTCGGGGACCAAAAAGTGGCTTTTGGAAAGCACAAAGGGAAGAGCTTCCGTGAAGTTGCTCGAATACATCCCTACGTACGCTGGTGCAAGGAGAAACTCTCCAGAGAGAACAAACTTTACAGAGACTTTCTGGACTATGTCGCGCGAGAGCCGTCCGCTTCTGTCCGATCGTCACAGAAGGCGCAGCCTCGAAGTGTGGAAGCTCCTCCTGCCTCGGCGCCGTGCCTGCAAACCAAGTGCCCTCGAACTAGGCTACTGTAGGCTCTCCCGGCTTGAACGGAGTGGGGGGGGGGGGGGGGGGCTTCAGGCTTTTGGAGTTGTAACTTTAATGTCTGGTGGAGATGCACGGAGGAAAACAGGGGGCTGCCGTACTTACACTGGCAGCAACCTGTTTGATGTTGAGACGAAGCCCTTCAACTGCGAATTGCAATCCCCACCAGCAAGTTTTGATACCCAGTGGACTAGCATTCATCAGACCAGCCCTGAACTCATTGTGTTTTCCCGCACCTGACATATCGGCTTAGAGGTCTCAGAGCCGTTTTCTTTGCTTGTGGGTAGCATCCCTCTAGGCCCCGATCCCAGTCGCCCAGGTCACACCCCCGAGGAGGAGGACCATGCTGTGCGAGTGCGGGGACGGATGCTTTCAGGGACTTTCCGTGCGTTGCCCTTGAGGACTGCCTCTCTCCAGAGCCCATCACAGGAGGCCCGGCTCCAGAGCAGGGCAGCTCCTGGTGCCCCTGCCCTTTGCCTGCTCTTGTATCTCTTGTATGATGGGGCAAATGTGTGTGAGGCTTATGTGCCGCTTCGATTCAGGAACCTACAGTAGAACACTACTCGTAAGACCTCTGACTACCCTGGGCTAATTATGACGCGCTTTTAACGACAAGGTCCACCGAACAAGTGGACGGCACAAGGTGGCCAGAGGCTAAAGCACAACTCGACGGATTCCGAAAACCGTGGAGAAACGAAACACGAGTGAAGCGTGCACCTTGGTCTTGTCCTGAAGCCTTTCCCAAGCAGAAAGTCTGACTCTTGAAGTAAAATCCCTGTGTACTAGTCGCTTGCAGTTCTTTAGTTCTTTCTCATTATTCTTTTCCCAAGCAGCACCCTAACCCTTCAATCCTTCACCCGAAAGCTCTTCGTATCTCGACAGATGCTGAGGCGACGTCGGGGAGACGCCAATCAGCGAGGCTTTGGAATCCCGCATTCAGAACAGCCCCATAGGCCTTCAGACAATCAATCGTGGACTAGAAGACTTGGTGATTCGACCTGGCTGACGGGACTTAGGTATGCCAGGTTTATGAACATTTCCGGATGTTTGGACGTTGAAACTGTTGGGTTTGATGTCCGGCTTGGGGTTCTCTCTCTTGTTAAATGCTGCTGATGAACGCCGCGCCTGCATGTGGGTCAAGCCCTTTCGAGGATGCGCCGATGTGCGTTTGGAGTTGTCTCGAAGAATCGGGGCTTGGAAACATTTCAGGGTGCTTAAGCTTTGTTGCGCCTTTTTGCAAGCCTATAAGCCCTGAGAATGCACGCATCATGCCGCTCGTGGCAGCCATGAGAAGTCCGGCTCACCCACGACGCCATCTGCAACCAACTTACTCAACCCCTATATGGCCCCTTCCTGAGCCTCGCGACCCCTACTAATCCCTAAGCGCGAAACCGCTATGTCAGATCCTCCAACCCAACCCCGCAGACCCTGAGCCTCCACTCTGCACCCGTAATACAGCGGCCTTAATAATTAGAATAGGGTCTTGGGGCCCATTTTACTAGGTTTCGGGGCCCATTATACTATATATATATATATATAGTATAGCTATAATAAGGAACCAACCCCCAAAATAGTTTTGGTAATTCTTACAGAAAGGGCCTCGGCCTCAAGTCTTAAAGCCCCTATAGTAACCCAACCCTCTGTCCAGGAGGCCCAGCCCCTCTGTCCGCCTGGCAGCCAAAAAGGCGCCTCAGGCGCCCCTGAAGGTCAAAGGTGCCTCGGCGAGTCTCTAACTAAAACAAAGAATAATAAGAAGAATGGTAATAGTAATACTAACAACAATCATACCTTCGCTTCGTGTTCGCATGGCTGACTGTGTGTGTGTGTGTGTGCGCGATCTTCTTTTTGAGTGCAAGTATACTCCATCAGGTTAGGGGCCGTAAGTTTGTGGTGCTAGTCTTGGTCGTCTCAAGAACGTGACGCTGGGGTAAAATAATCTGGGCAATAGTATTGATAGAAGTAATGGTACTAGTAGTAACAGTATATGTAAAAGTAACCGTACAAAGAGCAATAACACCGTCAGAAAATAGGTTCAGGCTGGTGAAGCTTTGCATGATGGGTCGGTAGCCCAGGTTCCCAGAAGACGGGCCAGAAAAAACTTTCAATTATTGGGTACCCCCCAAAACCAAACTCCTGCTCGCCACCAAAGGAGGCCGGATAAACTTTCCATTATTGGTGCCCCCGTCCATCAGGGGTTCGGGCTGAGGCTGCAAGAAGGGATCGCGCGCTTTTGTAATCTTGATTCACTAGCTGCTGGTGCTTCAACGCTTCTTTTCGGGGGTCTTGGCTGGCTCTCGCATTCTTCAGGGCCACAGATCTATGCGATCACAGCTGGAACAAATTGCATGTGTTGCACTTCCATCTCCTGGATGCCTGCCCAATCGCCTGCCACATACATTGCTTGAAATCGGGCATATTGCTTGTTGGACGGGTCGCATCAGACATCACGGTTACTGGGTCAAGCTTTAGTAAACCGTGAGGCTTGCAGGTGACTGCTTCGCCTTACCAACCTGTTGACTTCAAGCTTTCCTCTTTGTAAGGACCAAACTCAGATATCTTCGAGTTACCCAGAGGCCTCCTCGAAGGCTACCAGTGCCTCGCCTGCTTGGTTTATAATTCCGCTGGTTGTTCGAGCTGCTGGACTTCAGGGTTCCGACTGCGAAGGTTGACTTTCGATGCATGCAGTGAGCAGCTCTAAATCCTTCACCCCCGTGCCCTGCTCGGACGTTTTGACTTTTTAACGGCGCCCTCACAGTCCCGGTAGCGCACAAACAAAGTGTATCTAACAGGGCAAGCTTACGCATGCCCGAGCTCTGGGCAAACCCTCATGGACACTCTTTCCAGGCGAACGGAGTGCAGGCCGTGTACTCGACTCTCGTAGCATGTTCAGTTCCTACATTGCTGCATCCTAAGCCATTTTTCCAACAATTCCACCAAAGCTGTGTAGGCTTGTTGAAGCGTATTGAAAACCTGCGGCTTTGTTGTTGGAGTTGGGTTCTCAACCAGTTGGGTGGGTACAGGTAACTCGTCATCGCAACTCGTAACAAAATCTCCATACCCGGAGCATAAGCCCTTCTATAGGAGCCCTAATCGGCAAAAGAACAGGGGGAACCTTGAGGCTCTGGTCATGCAGCGGCAAGGCTGAACCGTCTGAGGAAAAGAAAACACCCTGGGCCTACGGCTACAACGACGGAGCCTCCGGCATCCCTTCAGCCTTGGCTGGGCTTGAATGAGATCTGTTTAGTGGCGTTGAAAGCAGAGAAGTTAGAAATTGGGGTGCCTTGCCCATCTTTATCTGTGATACCCCGAACTTCCGGGGTTTTGGCATGGCGACGTTTGCTCGGGGTTTGCAGGGCGGCTTGGGCGCTTTGTATAAGCAAATAAAGGCGCTGTAGAAGGCACGGTCAGGCAGCGTGCGGAGGTTTATGTCTGTCTTTCTGCTTGGATCTAGCAGCTAGCAGCTTTGTCTCGCTGCTCATGTTCTGGCCTCCACACTCTTGAATGAAGTCTTCGGTGCTGATTGAATGGTCTGGTCTGCATCGATTACGTTTCCAAACAATATTTTCCTTAATGAAATTTGATTGAGGTCTTAGACAAGAACAGCCTCATCTCAGTAGGATGGACTTACGTTGGACGTGTCCGGCTTGGACGGAAACTCGTGGTGAACCTGAAGGACTGACGTGGGAGGCAAGGTTCATCCCGGGCTCGCTGCTCATGTACCGCTGAACAAGAGAGATCAGTTTTGGTAACGTTTTGGATGCAGACAGGCTCAAACTCGATTAATTCATGGTGTCACTCGACTATGAAACCCGAAACCAGGACCCAACTTGAAAACGCGTCAGTTCATCTTCTTAAGCCCACAGTACACAGCTTTCAACATCCCTCCCCCAAAATCGACGGTGCACCGAATCGTTTGTGACATAAAAAGTACCACCACATGTATCCATCTATCGATCCATGCATCCATCACGACAATCCAGCTGTCTGTCTGTTTATCCACCTATCTGTCCATCCGGCTTCTGTCTGTCTGTTCTCTGTGTGCCTGTCTGTCTATCTGTCTGTCTATCGGATCCTTAGATCATCATAAGGCGTTGAACCACGAAATCGCGGAAGGGCTAACTCCGTGTTCGAGCCGGGCCGGAGGTCGTCATGTCTTAGGTTGAGGGCTGAAGCTTGCAAGTGCAAGAGATAGCCTATATTTCCTGGTCATTTATTCAGGGTGCCCTTGAAACCTGCAGATGGCGTCATGGAAAGGGAAATGTACAAGACGAATGCAAGACCTTATGATATGATGCCAGATGGTTTAACATCATATCATAGAAGAAAGCCCCGGATGCCCCCTTAAGCTCCCCGTGGGGTTTTAGGACCCGTCAGCTTCTCGACGCGGTGGCGACTGCGAGACGATTGCTGAATCCGACCTGACTGAGAACGTCCTCCGATTCCATTGGGAAAATGCAAGGATTGGTTGCCAGAGATTGCGGTTTGCTAAGTTTTATCCCGAGCATTTGGATTTCTCAGGGGGTTTGATAGCAATGCTACAGCTACGTTCGAATTCTTAGACGTGCCGTTCGGAGGCCCATGCAATCCATGAGCCCCAGAATCGAGGCCGTGACATCCCTGCTGCACAATTAGCCATAGAGGTTCAAGCACGTAAGTATCGATGTATGTATGTATATGTATCTGTATCTGTATATGTATATGTATATGTATATGTATATGTATATGTATATGTATGCGTGCGTGCGTGATCAGTTTTTTATTCATGTCTTGTGGCAGTTACTTATGTTTTGTTGTTAGTACTACTGTTGTTTGTATTATGCTATTCTTGTGAAAACCTCAGACCTCCCTAGACGCCGGCTTCCAAGCCCGGAACTGGGGCCGAGGGGCTCACAAGAAAGAACCAGAGTTCCACAACCCTAGACTCCTTCAGCCGTTCACCGTGACTGCCAAGGAGTATGCGAGATTCCTGTGCGCTTTGTTGGAGCTGGACCCGTCAACTGGTTTACGGTTCAATTCACGACAGAATAAAACGTTACATGCAAAGGGCCGTGCCAGAAGTTTGGATGTGAAGAGCAGCACCCTGGGAATGAGACCGGGCAGCCACAAGAATCAAGGATTTAAGGTTTTGGGGTTTAGGGTTCAAGGTCTAAGGCCTCAGACCTGACTACTTCACTGTCGGATATACATTGCATGGTGGCGGTTGTGGCACTGCCCCCTGCAACCCTGAACGGTCCCACTTGCCAGGTCAGGTGTACCCATGCTGAGGCCGCAGTGAGTCGTTAACACGGGAGCATTGACACGCCTTGCTTGTCTTGGAGTAGTACCACCCACTATGCTCGTTCCCAGATCGTGTTTCATGCAGGAGGGGAGAAAAGACATGGCCACAGCTCGCAAGGCGGGCCAGTCGGTTGCAAGACGGACGCCGACGCAGACATAGAGAGCATTGGACAAAAGTTTGGAGTTTGTTGCCAGCTTGTACGTTGAAGCGTCTAGCAGGTCATGACGGGCCACAAAAGTATCACAGACTTACTAGCCGCTCTGATAACGCGATGCTCCTGTATCTGCTTCTGAGAGTTGCCAAAGGTTATCGAGCTTACTACGGCAGACAGTTGCTCAAATAGTCACATCTCTACGACAAGGGCTCTTGATTCTATCAGAGACCCCGACTCGCAGCAGCCCCGTGCAATTGTGAGGATAGTACAGCCAACATTTGGGTTACTATGACTATGGATGGTGCCAGTAAGTTTGTGCTGAGTAGGGGAGGGCTCAGTCTTCGTGTACCTGGTTGTTTGAACCACTCACATCAGACCACACCCCCCAATAAAACTCTCGGAGAGATCCTGCCGACCCGAGCCTTGAAACCAGAAGCTGCGCAACGAAACGCGTTCTGGGATGTCTGCTGGAATACTGCTCCCAAAGATTCAAGAACAGCCACCGCAAACAAGAAAAAAATTAAGGATAACTTTCTGCAGGCAGCACGTGTCCTTTCTTTTGTAGGGTTGCAGTGGCCAGGTCAACCACCAGGGAGCACGCTTCGAGGCACTACCGAAGTTCCCTGGCCTATCTCGCATCTGACACTCTAAATTTGAGCGGCAAATGTTAAGAGTTTGACATCTGTCTGGTATCACCAACGGGGGCCGAAGCCCCTGATTACCTAAATTGCAGTGGCTGTCCTCAACGTCGACAAGGTGTCCGTATTGTATAGGGTGCTGATTCTGCAGGACCCTCGCATTGTCTCAGCTTGTATGCCTCGGAGCTGCAGTACAAAGTCGATCTCAACAAACAGAAATGCGAAAACAAATCCTTGCATTTCCGGGGATACAGCAGAATACTATGCAGCGGGCCTGCAAGATTTGGACTTGAGCCATACATCAGCTGCTGGAGTTTGTTTGTTCTACGCATGTTGCAAAGCGTTTGAACGGAAACGGAAGCCTACAGCTATGTATTGGATGCTGGAAGGTACCACTTTCGTGGCATCGTCCCGTTTGGCGGGAAGGCGCATATCGCAGCATCGCTCGATCAGGCGCGAACCTTGGACTTAGACAGGGTGCCTTTGCCGAGGATAACATAGATTGTGCATTCCTGGTGTTTATATCACAAAGCCCAGACCCTTAAACTGTAAGATCCTAAGTCCTGAACCCTACAGCTCCCAGAAGCCCAGACTTCCTCCCCCTTGCGGTGCTGGAACTTATCTTCCTTGGTGCTTGGTGAGTTGAGAAGCATGGTATCATCAGGGTTGAGACGTTTGCCTAGGATTTCTAGTGTCACATGCTTCGTCAACGTATGATTTGCTACAGAATCAAGCAGAGTTTTTGCAGCACGGTTAAATCCTGTTTCTAGCATGTTATCCCTTAGAAGTTAAGCAAGGATTGTATGTTTTGTGGCATCTCCGCGTCTTATCGCAGGTTCTTGAGCGACTAGTGACACTAGTGTTTCGGCAGGTATGCGGGTTTAGGCCCTATCAAGACGACCACTGCAAGGTAGATACCTCTCCTCCATGAGACCCCAGCCAGACGAACTCAGAAACGAGACCTGCTTCGCACGCTGTCACCCATATCGTATGCTGCCTTTTTGAGCAGGAGCTCTATGCCCCGGAGGACCGGGCAGTTTAGGGTTTGCACACGGTAGCTTACGGGCTGATGGTTTTCGGTGTCAAAGCCACCCGGCCGGACGGGCCGGAAGTTTCACCAAGACAATGTATTTTCGGGCGCGAGCCGGGCAGGGGATGAACTAAGTTCATGTCAGATTTTGGAGGTCTTGCATGGCTGGACTCGGCAGTTGTACTCGGGCGTTGGAAGGCCGATGTCAGCACAAGTGGTCGAGATGTTTCTTGCACCTGTGAGCTTGCATAGCTCACCTGAAGCTGGGGCCAAACCCCATAACAGTCCCATAACGGACGTTTGTTGCAATTGTTCTGTGGCCAATTCCGAAGCTCCTGCAGACCGAGTAGCCTAGGGAACCCATCGGGTCGTTCTGACCCGAGCAGTGTTATAATAGAAGATGCAATCCTAACTGCTCGATGCTGTGTGCGAAGACCGGGCAGAAGAAGGCACAAGCCAAAAGCCACTGCTCAAATCCAAAATTTGTCGAGTCAGTGTTTAGCAATGGCATACTCTGACTTCAGGAGAGGAATCTGGGTGGTCAGGGGCGAAAAGCCATGGCTTCCTTGGTTGGTCTCAAGGCTGGCATTTCACGACAATCACCAGCATGGCCACGTTGGGCAACGGTGCAGGAATTTTGTGAGTTGTGCGGCTGTTTGGAGCTTCGACTTTGCAGTGTTGGATATTTCTCTAATTCAGGAAATTTTCGCTCGGAACGCGGTGCCTCGCCGCAAGCTGTTAAATCAGGCAGTAGGCTCTGACTTTTTCCGGGCAGCGAACAGCTGGGCCTTTGGGGAGGAAGCGAACGCTAGGAAACCGTTCCCACAGAGACCGGGTAGTGTCTCTCGCTCTCTCTCTCTATCTCTCTCTCTCTCTATCCCAAGACCTGGAAAACAACACCTTATTAGGGACCTGAATAACCCGAATCGGGTTTTGCTTTGGTATATTATAACAAACTGACCACAAGGAACCTTGAGGATCATTGGTAATTGTTCAGGCTCCCATATTGCCTTTTCTTGTGAGGCTAGACCATATAATATGCAGGCCTTGATAGTTTTGGATCGTGTTGGGTTTTCAGGATATGAAGATTTACAAGTGAATAAGGGACTGCCAGAAGACATGATTAACAAACTGCCCCGACCTCCATTGCCAAATAAAGCCCGAAGTCCGGCCGCTCCGGAAAGGCCCCGATCCCCAATGCTTCCTTGCGTCTTTTGCCCTTTGAGGGTTTAGGTTTAGAGGGTTTAGGATGCACCCATCGGTTTGGAGCCTACTAGAAACTTGAATATAAAAGCCACGCTCAGTCGTGCGAAGCCGGCTTCTATCCTGAGAGGTGCGTCCTCTTGGGCCCGCACAGCAATGGTTCACTGGCTTGGTGATCTGAGTCTCGCCTTGAAAGAAGAGGTATTTTTCGTTTCGAAGTGGTTGGTGGGGTTCCTGTTTTCGCAGGCTTGTCTGCAGTATTATGGCTTTTGATTTTACCAAGTGCTGATGCAGCCGCCAAGCATCTAAACCCTCAAGCTGATCACTCCTTTCCAACCCGGACCACAGCACGTGCAGGTCACATGCAAGGCTCAAGCAATGTACGATTTGGCATTTTGCCAGTAACACGCATCGCAGCAGAGGTCGGAAGATTGTGAGTTGTCAGTCGCTGCAGCGGTGTTGCAGCGCAAACCCACGGGACTTACAAGCTAGTCTCAAAGGCGGCAAACAGTCCTTTAGCTCCTGTGCAATGGTCTTTCTCATCTCAGGTGAGCCGAAAGACAGAAACAACATCACTCTGACTCCGAGCATTCAGCAGAACCTCCTGCAGATGACGAAAACACCGAAGGTGTATGATGCAACGGCCAAGGCCTGACTGTGAGAGCGGCTGACTTGAATAGTATTTTGGATTGCGACGACATGGATAATAGCGATGACCTATCTCGCTCACGATGGTCATGATTGCCGCAATCTTTGGCTGTGGCATCCTTACCGACACCAGTTGTGATAGAACTGTCAGAATCAATGCCAAAGGTGTTCTGTTCTTCAATACTAGTGTTTGTCACGGCCTCCCTGACAGTACTTCTCGTCAAGTTATATGGTGCGAAGTCTCTTGTGTTAGTACAAGCACGTTGCGTTTTGCAGAGTCTCTCATGTGCTGCTACATGGCCATTTACATTCTTGGTCCTGGCCATCTCCAGAATCTGCCCAGTTTCGCCAGCAGTGCCCGAGCAGTGAATAGACTAGGGACAGGGGTGGTAATGGTATGATTCTCCCAGTGTCTGCCTGACAAGCCGGCATCGCGGGTGCGAATTCGAGCCATTATTGGTTTTCATTCGGATTGCTGTTTCCAGAAGTCTAGTTGTGATGTTTGGGCCACTGTGCAATGAGTATCAATTCGGGTTTGCAATAGTTTGGAGACCTGTCCCTACCGAGCCGTGAGAACGTCAAGCTTCAAGCCAAGGCATGTACACACCACGTTCACCACCAGTCGAGATAAGTTTATGCTTTGGGTGCACAAAATTTGAACCCCGAAAGAAGTGATACCTTCTTGTCTGCCAAACGGTTACAAAGTCAGCATGTTCTCTCTGCGTGCATCCTGCTGCCACGGCTCCAGAAGTACAGTACAGTACTGTAGACAGACAGACCTTCTTCTTCCTAACTGATAGAAGCATGCAAGCCGCAAGGCATCGTAGGCTAAGTCGGTCTCACATTCTGTTGGAGGCTCTTGTGGACGAGCTCCTTCTCACAGTCTCCAAGAATTGCACCAATGAGAAGCTGAGCTGTGCCAGTAATGACCCGGAGACTCCAATATTCCTTAATTAAGGAATATAAGGGAGTTCTGTACACCCCAACCCTCCCGCTTCCGCCATGATCGGCTGTTTGGGTTTCTCGGGCCCCGAAGTTGAAGCCCAAGGCTTCAGGCGAATCTAGGGGTCTAATAATTTACCAATACGATTTTGGGGTCCTGGTGCTATATAAATGTAAGTATAAGATCCCACCACAACCCTGCTCGAATGATTAAGGCCCCTATATTAGACAATCCCGTGGCACCCCTTCCAGAAACCTAAGCCACCTCAAATTCCAAAACCATCCAAAACCGGAAGCGATAGTAGGGTAAGGTATGTGTATGGGATTGTATGGGTAACTGTCGAAATCATGGTCCTTCTGGGAAACCCTATATAGCTCTTCTCTTCAATACCGCACGCTGCAGTTTGGGAACCCAAAAAAAGAGACCCTACTTTTGACAACCACCCATATGTAGGTGTTGGGAGATTAAGGCTTTTTGGGAAACTCCTCTGCAACATATTATAGGGGAAAATATTTTTCCCCTATACTATGTTAAGTGCTTTCTTGGGAAGCTCCTCTGCAGCAAGGAGGGACTTGAAGATGACTTTCGTCGCCAACGCATTGAGGCCTGCCCAGAGCTGCACAGGTGGAGCCTGGTGACTAATTTGCTCATTTTGGGACCGCATGGGCTTCTGAGTCTCACCCGCACCCGGTCACTTAAGCCCAGCAGAAACGAGCTCTAATTCCGACTCATCATATATAGAAGAACAGACTGGGCGTGAAAGCTGATGTCAGGCCAAGCGTCACCGGGCAAGCGCAGGAGCAGAAGCTGAGAGGGCTGAAAGGCTGGGAGAGCTGCCTGGACTTGACAGGTGAGGGTGCGGGATTGAGCGGTTCATGGGCGACCTCGGGAACTGCCATTGCCGGTTTGCAACTTTGGATTGTGATTTGGAGCGTGAGATCTGCGAGCTTACATGTTGCATTTAAAGAATGTAAGAATGTGGGGTTTCATGACACCGATCACCACCACAAAGGTCGCCTCTTCCATACCATTGCTGCTGCGATGGTCACGGTCTTCTTCGTACTGTTCATCATTTCGGTTATTGTTGTGTGCTGATCCTCAGTCTTCTGCTGCTACTCGTTTTCCGTTTTGGCGTCCTCCGGGCGGCATTTCAACTGCACCGGTCATAGCCTGAGATGCGTTCTGTGCAAAGCAAGTTATGTCAGAATCGTTGAATCCTTGTCCCATACATGCATTGACATACTTTCCCAACCTACTCTGCAAAGTCACATGGAGAATTCGAGTATTTGCTTCAGCGGACGTCCCCGTCTAAGTGCGCTGAAGCCCTTCCTACGTCTTCCTACCACTATAAGCCACAACACACGGACAATGCTATTCTATTCCGTATGACTGGTGTTTGCACTTGTAAATTCATTGTTGTCTTTAGATTGGCTGGATGCAACGGCAGAGAGAGAAAGAGAGATAGGCTCCATCATGTTGATCAGCAGGGTTATACAGTTGGAGGTATGGTTGCAAATTATTCGCCATGATTCCAGCTATGACTACTTAAGCCCAAGCGTTTTCTGCAACATGAGCATGGTCATCATCACCCCCGTCGATCCGTGATTCGTTATGGTTTGCTTCGTCATCAGCCAGTTGAGAGCCTTTGCTGTCTCGTGCGAAATGATACTAAATTCTTTTTGATACCGTGACTGTGACTTCTCCGGCTATTCTGGTGGAGGTTCTTGGCTCGGGCGACAGGTTTTGGGGCAGGGGCTGGGGCCGATGCAGTGGACATTGTTCAGTTTCAATGGTCGGGCTTGCTTGAAGCCGGGTGCAGACCGGCCTGATCCTGTCTAAGCCAGGGGAGGAGAAATCCTTGGACAGTTCGTTTAGGCTGTAAGCACTGGGAATCATGCGGCCCAAACTTCCGGGACCCTAAGTTGGCTTGAACCTTGCAGTCCTCAGGGTCTGCAGCAACAACGGTGTCGCCACACTCACCCCCTTTTCTGTGATTGTGACCAAGGATTCCAAGCCTTGCCACCCACCAAGATTATCCTGGATGCGGAGACGCGTCAGCGCATGATCGCCGAAGAGGCCGCTGCCGACCTTCAAGGGCTCTTGTTTGTAGCTATGTTATACCATATACAGGAGCCAAAAGCCTAAATATTCTCGTTATTGAGGCACAATCTTAGGGTTTCGGTCCGGAGGGTGTCCAGTAGCTTGTGCCGCCTTCCGTTGCTCATCCAGCAAGTCAGCTGCAGCCTTGCATCGAAGTTTCTTTGAAGGTCACTCGCCTAAGTGACAAGATCTTCAAGTGGTCTCCCCTTCGTCCTCGTCGAGTGCAAGATGAGACCTCTTTCCAGAAGCTGGAGCCGCCGATGCTTGTCATCGGCAACAAAATGTCTATCAGCGGTGCCGAGAGACCGTCCAAGGTGCTCTTCCAATTAGACCGCGCCGGTGCGTTCAAAGTCAAGCCGAGCACACCTCTGCGACTGGGTGCTGCCACGTTTAGTGCCAACCCTTCACAGAAGACCTTCGTGGAGACGGTCTTAAGCAAGATCAGCAGGCTATTGGAGAAGTTCGGTGTAAGGGTCGCAGACACCTTGGCACCAATCCACACAAGCGGCTCTCTGGAGAAGGACGTCCAAAGCGCTTTGAGGTCCGAAACCTTGACCCATGCCGACGCAATTCTCCTTTTCGGTGGGAAGATGAATGATGCGGCTTACAATCAAGCCAAGTACGAATGCCTGCGCTCGCAGAACGATGCTGGGAAACACGTGACGACCCAGTGGCCTCTTGCTCGCAGGATATTTCCGAGAACACCGGAGAGGTTGATAAGGAAGGATTTGACTAACGAACAAATTGAATATCCATAGTTAGCTAATAGATCTATACATATATATATATATATACACACTCTCTCTCTAACTATGTATAACATATATACACTAATATACACATAGGTTGTATAATATATACATGCATGTGTACATACGTACATACATACATACATACATACATACATACATGGATGCATGCGTGATACTGGTTCATGCTGGTGCCGGCTTCCTGTTGAGCGTAGGATGTCGCTCCGTCCAGGTCAAACAAGGGCATGCGCTCTCTTCGGGACAATACATTTTGCATTTAGCGTGGGGTATACGGTTTCCACTTGTGTGACCTGCGGGCCCGCAACGATGGTGTGACGACTTATAAAGCCCATTAGCCCGAGAACTCGGCACTCAGATGTCGCCATCCTGAGTCCTGCACTGCCTGCTACCGCACCCACTCCTCCACACTTGAAATTAGAGGTCCCACTGTCGTCTCTGCTGCGACGACGGCGATGGCGACGAGAACGATGACAACGATTACTACCGCTCAGCATTCTAATCATACTTTTGTCACTGGCGAACTCATGCATGTGCGGACTAGTGACTATACTGTAGTGGTAATACAAGCCCTTAACAACGTTCAATGGTGACAGACCCTAGGCAAAACCAACTCCACATAAAACCTGGAACTGCTTCAGCAAGACTAACTCGCAGCCCACATGCAGCCCTAAACCCCAGACAGCATCTGCAAGGTTCGACCTGGGTAAGGGCAACGTGTGGGGCCCGAAGTCCAAGACGCTGGAGTGGGCAGAGCCTTTGGCTCGCTGTTTTGGGGGGTTAGGGCGTGCTGCAGGGTTTCGGGCATTCTCCGGCCTGGAGGGCTTGAAACTTACGCACACTCTTCTAAGAGTATGAAAGCCAACGCCTCTCGAAGTCGATTCCTAACACAAACGCCGTGTACATTTGAATTAGCAGTTCATGGTTTGTTTTCTTGGACTGAAGCGGAGTCATATCACTGCAGTGAAAGTGGTGGACGTTTCAAGAGTCCTGCAGCCAAGGAAAAGATCTGCGCAGTGGGCATCATCGCCAAGAAGCCTGGCTAGTGTGCACCATTTATCGAGGCATTGTTGGGTATGAATCTTTCGGTCTTGGGCTTGGGCGTTTGTATTTGTCGGCCTTCATCTGGGATTTGGATACACACGACCTATAGCACGAAGAGGTTGCGGTCTAGTGTGCTCTGACGCATACTCTCCTTGACATGCTATGCATGACGCGAAATCTAGCTATAGCAGGTCATGACAACAAATGGCCCACCGATGTTTCCACAGTTTAACACCCAAGCAGATAAGATAGTCTCCGTAAGGTGAGTGTTTCCAGGTCCTGGCAGGAACTTGCTTCGACAGGATGCTTGACATGTTGCGCATGGTCCCTTTAACCCTTATCCTCAAATCTGGTGTGGGTTGCATCCGTTCCAATCTTCGGATTCACACAGCCGGGCTTGGCCGTTCGACATGGTGGCACTCACATACCGACCGGCAGATCGGGTCAGCCCTGCCCCCTGCAGCATTTCATACGACGGCCGTCCAAGTTCTTGGTCCGAAAAATCTGAGCCCGCACGGAGTCCGCCCTGGACCACAGCACTTGTGCTAAAGCTGACCTTCGTCGATGCTGGTGTCCTGTCATATTCAATCCCAGGCTCGGCCACGCCCCTTGGGCAATCAATGTTCGGCCTTGGTTCCGTGCCACACCCAAGGCCAGCAAGGGCGACTCAGAGCACTGAGCGTTGGATGTTCCAGGGATTTGGGGGACACAATGGGTGTAACGAAATTGCTATGGACTTTGACGGGAAATTCTACTGGGGCAGAAGTACAGACCAAGCTACTTGAAGTGAGGCCATGCCCACGTCACTTGTGACACAAGTCCAGATCCCCGGTCCCAGCAAACTGCGCACTTTCGAAATTCAAGTCATGTGCCTGTTCTACTTCGCATTGAGGAGCCGGGCAGACATGAAGGCGCTTGAGATCAGAGAACACGGCAATGTGTTGTTGCCTTGATCTTGTGGAAAGGAAATCCTGGCGTGCAGGACATTCGTGTGGGTGTGGTGGGCTACGATGTGTGCCACCTCCGCAACCCCAAAGACTTCAAAAAGCCCATATCCATTGCGGCAGCCATCAGAGAATCTGGCTCGCAAAGAGATTGGGTTTTGTCCGAGCCGGACGAGGTAGGCATAGGTGATCTAAATAGCTCTTCCGGTTGGGCTCTTGTTCCTTTCTGCCGAAGTCCAGCAACCAGGACTTCCCGAAGTTGGAACTAAATCTGAGCCTGTTCATAAGGGAGATGCCGATTGGAGGCTTCAAGTTCGCTCTGGGACTGAGGCGGCGCCAGTACAAATGCTTTCGTTGCATAAGCCTTTGCCAACCACCGAGCACCATCGGCATCACCATCATCAACATCATCATCATCATCATCATGTTCCTGCTGGTTGTGCGCATTTACAAGTCTATGGTTCGAGGCTCTTGGACCGCTTCATGATGGTGACGAAAACCAAGACACCCACAGAACCAGAAAGTTGGAGGTTGGTAAACTTTGCCACAGATGCAGGAATGCAGGTATGCAATATGACGGTCTTGGCGACATGTTCTGATGCTTGCAATTATCAAGCCGTGCAGTTCTATCCGACTATGTAGTTAGCTCGAGGTCCAACTGCGGGGTCTGTGGGTGGACTCTGAACCCCTCCCACCAAAATAAATAAATGAACTCCTAAACCTTTGACGTCTAAACGGACAACTGTTTCTCATTGTTTCCGCCAAGAACTCTCGAAGGCTTCGCCGCTTAACAAGTTTAACCACAGGTGGACAGTGAAAAGGACGAGGACCCCTGGCTCCTGAGCCACATCACCTTTCGCACAGAGCACCCCGGTTCGCAGCTGAGGGTATTGGACGCTCGGAGCTTGCGTTTGTAGAGCAGGAAGCCTGTCCTCGACCTCGCATAAACGGTGAGCAATGAGTCCCAGAACCTTTCGGCGCATCATTTTTTTTTGGGATGCGTTTGGTGGTTCCCATCAGATCCCACGGTCTCGAATTTTGTGCCTAGCCAGGTGATATGCAAGTAATGCGCAACCTCCACAGTCCGATATACACAAGCAAGTTACGATTATGCCGATCATGCATGTATTTCTCTGTTTATCTGCACATAGCGAAAATTGGAGCCCCATGGCAAGGCGCGTACAGGTGGAGACGGTGCCTAGCCAGAGTCTGAAGGCTGGTTTGGGCAGGTCTTCCTAAAGTTGACCCCTTGCCAAGCGAGTTACATTACCTTAAGCTCCAATTACTCGAGTCAAGCACAACCCTAATGGCATCACGAAACACCCGCAGATTCGGGACTTGAAGTTTTCAGGGCTTGGAGTCTTCAGAGTCTGGAATTCGGGAGGGACATTGGGCGAGAGGTTGGAAGGCTATGTCATGTGCACTTTGGGCTTCGGGTTGTCGTCGAGTTATCGTTGGATATCACTTTGTTGCAAGAGGTCGCAGTCTAAATCCTTGTTCACAGAACTAATGCCTTCTGGGAGACAGCGTCGTCAGTGGTTTTCTTTGTCTTTTTTATCCTTGGAGTGGGCACAAACAAGTAGCTATTGTTCTTTGCCGTCCGCTGCCGGTTTCTTTCGGAGATGTTGTCTCACCTTTGCCTCTGTCAAACATGTCATAAGTCAGGCCTTTCATATTCATAAGCCGTAAGCAAGCATGCACTTTGAGATAAAACAATCTAGCAGGACATGATCCCTGCTGACTTTGCGCGCGGCCGCCTGATAATCATCCATCGGGACGGCGAGTTTCCGCAGCTTGGGCCTATTGCAGTATATTGGACTGGAGAGACTCACGCACGTCCTGCTCCAGCGCACCCATCCCAGTCTAATTCAATCGATGTAAATATGAAATGGATTGTCCCTGGCAGTCTGCACCTCCAAACCTTGTTTCTGCCGCCTTTAATGATCCCGGACTGCTGCAAAGGCTGTGCGCGGCGTATAATATCTCCACCCGATCGCTGAGCCTGGCTTCTTTCCGTGCCCAACTAGGTCCCGGTCTATCTACTGTATGTTTGAAATCTTGAACTTATCTCGACTGTTTAGGTTTTTGGCAGCTTATAAGTTAACTCATAAGTAATACAACTGTTCACACGTTGTTGATAACTGTCTTGCGTTGACACTCAGCAGACCGCGTCAAACACACACATACACACAGACACAGGCAAAGCAACAGCACTAACATGCAGTTTTTGACACACACACACACACACAGAGACACCCTCCAACACACCCAAAAGGCAAGCAAACAAGCAAGTCAACAAAGAACTCCACAACCAAACACGCCACCAGCTACGCAAACAAAACAAGCAAAGAGACATCCAAGCGAACAGGGTACAGTATCCTTCATATATGAAGGAGGCAGAGGAACAAAGAGTTTCTTTTCTGCTTCCATAGGAAGGCGGAGCTGGCATCACTGCGGGCCTACCACGGGGAGCTGGCAGCCAGCGAGGTCACGCCAAGAAAGCTTTCCACAAAGGGACAAATAGCTCGATTTAAGCGGTTAAAACCGTATGTGCCTCAGCACAGTGCATGAGAACAACATAACAACATCGGTTTGGCGAAAGGTGGTCGGAGTTGCAGTCGACGTCGTGGTCGTGGACGTTCGTCGTCGTTGCAGTCGCAGAAGTAGTGGTGGTAGGAGTAGCAGCAGTAGCAGGAGCCGTGGCGGTGGGCTGCGGTGGTGGTGGCGATTGTGGCGTAGAAGAAGTAGTGGCAGCGACAGCAATAGCAGCTGCAAAGTGCGCATGTACTCCTAGCGACAGTCCCGTTCACATCTCTGTCAGGTTGCTTGAACTTGGCAGTGTTGCCCATATTCTGCAACTTGTGCGGTGGCCATGCGGTCACCAGTACTTGCTGTGCTGTCATGACGATTGATCACTATACTACACCCGGCTACTGGGTAGAGGATTTACGGCTCAATTTCTCTACCCCTCGAAACAGTGTCTTCAACATGGCAGCAGAGCAAGACCTTCCGTCAGATGTGCATGTTCTGCATCTAGCCACCAATCTACAGTCCTTCTAGTCTGGGCATATGAGAAGCTGCACCCCCCCCCCCCCCCAGAAAGCTCGAATCTGCCAGGGTGGAAGCCAGACCACTTTCGTGCTGGTGGAGTGCGTTCCCGGGCTTGAGAAGGGACTTAAGGGAGAGCCTTGAGGATGTCCAAGTCTCGTGTAGGTCCCTCCTCTCTGCCCCAAGAAAAGGAGTGCGAACGCTCCTCAAGAACAGCTCTGGACCCTTTTAATTAAGCTTTATCCTTGAGGCCCAGAGTCGCGGGCCGAGCCCCATTTCTGATTTGTTCTCATTTCATGATGGCTATGCTGGTTCTGCAAACACGGACATTCCCGAATCATGCATTGAGACGCAGGTTATTTTCGCATCACTTCTGGGAATCGGGAACTGTGCCCTTGACAGCTTGAAGCCTGAAGCACCAAGCTCTACACAACATCCGGCCAATCCAGTTATTGGGCAGTGGTAGAGTTCGACAGAAGACCAAACCCTTGATAGCTTGAAGGCGCAAGGTTCAACGCCCTGTAGCCCGAAAGCCTTCAAGCCAACCTGCCTTGCAGGTGAAGTGGGCCGGCGGATCACCCAGACTCTACGAGGGCACCAAGTCCGCTCCTGCTGGCACGATGGTGGCTTTGAGCGACAAGGACTTCCCGCGAGTTTCGCTTTGAGCTAAACCCTCACCTCGGACGAGGGAAACCTGCATGAGCCTGCACGAAATCTGCATGCCCTGAGACTTACCGCGACTTGGCAAGAAGTCTTCTTAGTCTGCTTAGGCACATCTACCAAACCTCCAAGTTTCACTCCAGCCATCAACTCGGAACACGGAGCTACAAAGCCCTTTACGTGAACACTCAACCTATTGTCTTGTATATATTTTCCTATGTAGTATATGCAGATACAGATATAGTTATCTGCTATGCCAACCTTCTAATCCCGGAGCCCCATAAGCCACTCATCGTTCAAGCCCCAAGCCCTGTAAAGCCACCTTCCCTAAACCCTAAACCCTAGGTAAACACTCCTTCCGAGGAGGCACTCCTAGCCTCGAGCAAGGATATTTTCCAGGGCACTGCGCAACTCGGCATCGAAGGAGGTTAATTAAGAAGTCGGAAGAATCACTACTTCTGACTGATACCATTCAACCGCGAAGCCCTATTCTAACTGTAGTATCATATGTGACTTATTAGCGCGACTGTATTCGGGTATTCGGGCGCTGTCTACGGGTTAGGGCACGAACCCCTTAGTGCATGTTATTTAAGCTTTGGGAGGTAGGGCATTTGGGGCCTGGGTGTGAACTAGGATCCTAACCTGAGGTTTAGAATGTAGATTATATTTGTATACATGTTATGTATGTATACATATATATACAGAAAGGAACACTGTGGGGGCCC